CAAATCATTTACATGGCTCCCCTAAATTGATCCTTCAATTTATAATCAGTGACAATGATCTCAAAAATTAACGTATAGTAATGTCTCTTCCAGCGATTAATAGTGTCTTTTAAACCGATAAACAAAACAAAACAAAATGTGATAAAGAGCAATAAATGAGATAATATTCAATCTAAAATTGTTCATGAATTAGCTTGTTTTGCTGCTAGGCTCCTCTGGTGGGGAATTCCCCGTACTGTGGCAGCGGGATACTCATCACTGTTCATTTTGGCGTACAAGCAGCACTAGCTTGTGGATAGGACGATCAAGATAGGTAGGTGCGTTTATCTTGTTTTCTTTGGAGTTGTCTGCCATCTTCAATCGTACCTTTCTGACTAGACCATCATCACTGGGGAATGTCTGTGCTATTCGAGCTAGGCGCCACTGCGATCTGGATTGGTTTTCGTTCTTCAGGATCACGACGTCTCCAATTTCTAGGTTCGTCCTTGGACGCTCCCATTTCTGTCTCTCTTGCAAGGCATAGAGGAAGTCCTTGCGCCATCTAGTCCAAAACTGATTGGCCAAATGCTGCACCCGCACCCAACGTTTCCTTGAGTACAGGTCCGCCTGTTGAAAGTTACCTGGAGGAGGGAGGACTATTTTGGATTTCTGTGTTAGCAATTGGTTTGGCGTGAGTACTTCCACGGAGTCTGAAGGTGAACTTCCAGKTGTAGTCAATGGACGGCAGTTTACGATAGATTCTGCCTCCACCATTAATGTTCTCAGCGATTCRTCGTCTAGTTGGGTTCCGTGGCTGCGGAGCAACGTCGTCAGCACGCTTCTGACAGTGCGAATCTGTCGCTCCCATACTCCGCCCATGTGACTGGCATGGGGCACGTTTGGTTTGAAGTGCACCCAGTCACACTCATCCTTCAGTAGTTTGGACCTTATCCTGTCGTGTTGTAGTTCTGCCATTGCAGCGTGTAGTTCGTTCCTTGCTCCCATGAGGTTAGTCCCTTGATCAGATCTGAGTTGGCGCACCGGACCTCTTCTACCCACGAAGCGACGGTAGGCATTCATGAACGAATCGGTTGTTAGCGACGACGCTGTCTCTAAATGGATCGCCCGAGAGTTCATGCAAGTAAAGAGKACGCCATAGCGTTTCAGCTCCTTTCTGCCTTCCTTTATGAGCCAAGGTCCGAAGTAGTCAACGGCACTGTATGTAAAGGGGGGTGCCTCCTTTACTCTATCGTCTGGCAAGTCCGCCATTTTTTGTTGTTCCAGAGCACCTCTTGACCGTCGGCATATGACGCATTTGGATAGCTGATGTCCAACAACGGAAGCACCGCCAATTATCCAATATCCTGACGCTCGAATTTCAGCGTGCGTTGTTGTACGACCTTGATGGCTTATCCTGGTATGGAAATGTCTGACGACCAATTCCGTGACATGACCCTTCTTTGGTAGGATAGCCGGATGCTTGATATTAAACGCTACATCTTTGTTGCTTAATCTTCCGCCGACTCTTAGAACGCCTTCCGTGTCGATGAAGGGATCGAGTCGATATATWGGGCTGCTCTTCTTCACTGTGGCTGGTTCCTTGCCTTGATTRCGTAGGGTCTCAATTTCTTCTTGAAAGTTGCTCAACTGTTCTGCGCGAATTATYTCCGATTCTGCAAGCTTAATGGCCTTGACATCCACGTTTGGCTTATCGTTGGCTTCGTTCCTTGATCTGAGCTTGATTSTCTGTTGGAATTTAGTGATGGCAGCAATACCGTTCCTGACTTGATGCCAGTCTGAGAAGCGTTTGACGCGGTCCAGTAGGCTAAACTGTTCTTTTACCTTGACGCGGAATACGGACGCTCTTTTAACTTCAGGATCATCGGCAGGGATATCCAG